TTCATCTAACTTGCTTCCATATGCTATAAGTAAAACCTATAAATTTTTTTAAATGTTTTAAATGTTTTTCTTTTTGTAATGGTGTATTTATTTATTGATTTAAATGATTTATTTTCTAAGTGAGTTTTAAAATCAACTCCTTAACCACACTTAATTTATTTGAATTGTATGATTTTTAAATAACAATTGGGGCAAGTGTTATAAATACCAAATTCAACATTTCAAATCTCAAATATTTAAAGCTCAGATCAGAATTTTTTAAAGTAAAACAAAAGCTTGAAAATCAATTGAGACCCAGAATAATGAGTTTTAAGACTCAAAATAGATATGTGTGCAAAAAATAACACGTGTGCCATGGCTCGTAACATATGCACTGTGACTCATCTTCTTTGTGCCATGCACTGCGGCATGAGGTGCCATGTGGCATGGTGCATTACACAAATTTGATAGTAACAGTACTATCATTTGATAGCACAAGGAGCGAACTTCTGACGCGTCCTAAATCTCCATCCAACGTTCGATTAAGGTGGTTTTAGTGTCTATATGGAGCTTTCTCTTAGCTCTAGCTAATGGCATTATTTTCACACTCAAATCCTTTTTCTATAAAAGTTAGATATCAAAACCTATTTTGACCACTTTTTCACAAAATTTCTCAAATGGGTGTCCTAACTCAACCACACGTGCCAAATAGCGCTCACACCGACCATCCGACTACACTCAATAGACTCTAATGAACTCGTGAAATGCACCACACAAAAAAAAATATATATTTATCATAAAACCACCACTCAACCCCGATTTTCTCAAAACACAAAAGGGAAACAAAGTTGCACAAATATATCAATTTCATCCCAAATCTTTCAAAGTACATATGTCTCTACTTGCACAAGTATTTTGGCCTTATCCATGAGTTTATAACCAAAACTCACTAACCCAGAGAACAAAATACACAAGTTATATACAAAATCATGCAAGTAGTGCATAAATCATGTCAAATAATCCTAGTTGGCAATTACATTAACAAATACACATGAAAACAACAAAAAGAGGCATAAAGAAGATTACTTCACAATCCTAGGCCTCTGTGTGTTTTCCCTGACTCTGATCCGATGAGCTAGGTCTTATAAATATTGAGAATTGAGGGGTGAGTATAACTATTCAGCAACCAAGTTTCACTTAACCTATACAGTTGCATATTAATTGTAAATAGATGCAATTGAACAAATACACAGACATCACATATAAACACTTGGCCACGATTCACAAAACTAACAACTATGTGACTGGGCCTATAACACACCATATCATGATATTTCACAAAGTAAAACACGGGGTCACAATAATAACAACCATGCACCCTTAACACATGCTAGACCATAAAACTAATAATCATGTGGCCGGACCTATATGCATGATCATATGCCAACCTTATAACCTCCTGTTACCTCTAACATGAAACTGGTGGCTACCACGTGACTACATCCCTCATGGACTAACCTATCCTACCACTTGTGAGGAGTTATCAGGCCAACGTCAATTCACTCACTTATGTAATCTAATTTCCTCCAATACTATCAACCATGGGGTGTCGTACCCTTAATCTAGCCTCCTCATGAACCAATAGAAACTAATTAGGTTTAAGTCTCTCATAGAACAAGTGGGACAGTCCCAAATCAACTATGGGACAAGGGCTACCTCTCGATTCCAACAATCACTACTAGTATCATGTGAATTTAAACCAATCTACTCCTCTCCCTAGGCAAACTCTCACCAATGATCATGCTATGCACATTTCTCACATAATATGCATTTCAAGAATCAATCCATGATAAATTATCTCATATTTAGTCACTCTACACATTCAACATATCACATATCACAATTCTTTGCTTTTACAACAACATGTCATAAGTAAATTTATAAATCATAAGTGGCTAGCATAATAAATGTTTTTCCTTTCTAAAATCATTTCACAATTAAACACATTGCCGACATGTATTATTTATTTAAATCATCAATCTCATTTCACAAACATAATTAACATTCAACTATAAAAGTTAGTTTTTTCCTAGTTATCTCAAACCTTTGAGAGGTCAAAGGTTTACCCCTCACAAGATCAACTTCTAAAGCTTCAACAAGCTTGAATGGTGCCAAATGATTCACACTACAATCATAAGCAAGAATATCATCACAATCCTACTCTTAGGGAAATATCAACATTGATTCCACCTTTCCTCTATTCTACTAATCCCATAAATCTCTACCCATTCATATCCAATAGGCTCTTTAGGTTCCATTAACACACATTATCAGTAATAACACTTCAAACTATCATTAATGCACATAAACCTCTCCTAACTACCACATTTATGTTAATTTTTGTATCTTAAATGCTCTCATGGACCAACCACTTCCAAAATCATCAATATGGTGTTTCAATACTTTAAACAACTCCTATTATACCCTTTTCAGCCAATGAAATTAGATCCATACCCCTATTGATCGAATTTCAACCTTTCAACTCAAACCTTACCATAAATCATCATAAATGAAGGAGAGAAAGGAAGTAGAAGGCTTATATTACTTACCTTGGGTGTTTATAAGCTTCAATCTATCACTAATATGCTCTAACAACAAACCTTAGCAGAGCCAAAGTCATGCTATTCGGTTTCTCCTTCCTCTTTTCTATTTTTCTCGCACTGATATGAATCTAATATATTAAATTTTTAGCTATGCGCTGCAACACACGCTGCCCTCTGTCGCGGTGCATGGCACAGAGGAGCTCATTACATTCAAATCTATCTCTGTGCACCATGACGGACTGACCACGTGCCACGGCATGTGGCACAAAGAGCACATCTTTACTTTTTCTTCTTCTTTCCCTACTTGGGTGGCTCTCCATCAATTTGGACCCATTTTTAGGGTTGAAATGACCACAATTATTCACTAATTAGACCCCTCTAGTTACACACCTTATTAACTCACTAATCAAAATAATTGGGTTGACTAATCACAATTAATTTTCTCGGATGTTACACTCTTAGTATTAGATAGCTTTAAAATACTCCCAATGTCTTAAATATTTAAGCCCTAGTAGAGCTCCTTAAGTGCTCTTCGTCTCTCTCCTTCAATTTTTTTGTTTTCTTTCTCTTTTTATGTCAAAGCACAATCTATTTATTATATAATTTAAGCTTTGCACCAAATTGCAGCATGTGGTATAAAGAGGTTTTTTTTCATATTTTTTATTCTATTATGCTGTGATGCATGCCACACACGCTATGGCATATAGTATAAAGCCTCAATTCTTTGTCTTCCTCCCTTTTTGAAGTCCAAATGAATCGGTTTTAGTCCTAACCCAAAACCATAGTTGAAAGCACAATTCAATCATTCATTAACCCTCTTTAATCCTATACCAGATTAATTTACTTAATTTTCCTTGTTTAACCTAATTAATCAAGTTTAAATTTTTTAGGATGTTACATTGGAAGCTTACTTGGATGTTAATCTATTAATATGCATGTGTCGTAGCGTGTAGTCTTAAGAGCCACATCACCAATTGGTCCTTCCACCTGAGCTTGGATAACCCAATACATGTCCTATTTCAATTTTAATGTTGCCAAAGGTTCAAAATACCCCTTAGTAATAACTTGGTAAACTTAATTATTTTGTTATTTTACAAGTTTATCCCTATTATGCAATGAAATTCCAAATTAAAAAAATTAGGATGTTACATTTCACAACATTAAAGACCCAACCCTTAATAAAGAGGACAATAGCCCTGATGGGCTCAATCTTCGAAAGGAGTCTTGACTTTTAAAGTCATTAAGAGAGGAAATCAAGAAACCTAAACCCAATTTTGTTAATAATCCTCATCCTTCTTCATTCATCTTAAACATTTAGGGGCTATGCTCAGGGTCTCTCAAACCCACACCCATGTCTAAACACCATGCACTACTGCAAATTCATGTTGAGCCTTTGGTGTCACCTTTGTACAAATAGCGATAGTGATCACTGGATGCATTTCACTACCTCTAAACCTAGGTTTCACATTGATTGTGTTGAACTTGCAGCATTATATTATGATTTTTGCTATTGTTATAATCGCCTTCTTCACTGAGCTTCATATTTTAGTTGACCTCCTTTCGATTTCCATTTTGTTCTTATTCTCTCTCATGGCTTTGGATCTTTTGGTATGTTGATATTATGTTAGTGGGGTTACTATGAAGTTGGATTTGATCAAGCTTGTTGTGTTCATTATGAATATAATTCTAGCTTTTGTTGTGTACTTAGCAAAAATAGTGGAGGATGGATCAAGTATGTAGTTACAGTGCCTCTTTGGTTTATGGGGATGATAGGGATTGCAATGCCTCTCTTACAAGGTGATTTATAGAGCTAAGATCACATGAGTTTGGATGAAGCTAGGGCATTGAAGCTTAGTAGCATCTTTCATGGTGTGTTGAGAGGGTGAGAGAGAGATTTGGAAAGGAGAGAGAGAGAGAGAGAATACAAACAAAATGTGGATCTTACAAGGAAAATAAAATGTTCATCACTCTTAATTTAACAAGAAGTGACAATCTGTTTTTAATACTTGATAATTTATTTTATACTATTTTATAATATAAAATATTAAATATTATTTAAAAAATAATTCATGACTTAATTTGCAGGCTTATCCTACTGCACGCGAGCGCGTCTCTGGATCTGTTTCTTCTCCAACTGATTTTCACATTCGCTCTTTCTCTTCTCTCCTCAAACACCACACCACCCACACAGCGCGTACAAACACAACCAATCAGAAGCTCGCACTTCCACTGCTATGTTCCACGCGCATAAGAAGTCGCCTGCCGCATAAAAACAACACAGTTCAAAATGAAGAGGAAGATGAAAGCGTTTCAAACTGGGCCGTAGATTATTGGATTTAAATCGACGGACCAGATTGTTTTTACCACTGAAAGCGTGTATTTTCAAAAAACAAAAAAAAAATATTGGGTTAAAAAAAAAAATTTAAAATATTCTAAGCTTGGGCGTCCCTGCTAGTACCCCTCCCGCGCCCTTCTAGGGTTTTAGAGTCGCCGCGCTTGCAGTAGTATTGAAGTTTTCTTCACCTGTTTCGTCACTCTCCTCAGTATCTATACCCAGCTTCATTCATTGTTTCGCCGTGAGTTCTCTGTAATTGATTTGCTCTCTGTAATATTCAGCATAGTGATTTAGGGTGGTTGTTTTGTTTTGTTTTCCTTACTACCTTGCTTGGATTGGATATATGTGATTGTCATCTGATTCTTTCTTAAAAATTGATTCTCTCGCTTAAATGATATTTAGAACAAGTGAAGTGATGTCATATGTCTGCAAAGAAAAAGTAGGAAACGGCAGCGAATTTAACTCCTTGCATTTTCAATTGTTGGGACTTGCTTGAGTATTCTAACAGTGTCAAATTTTTTGTTTTTCTCTTAGTAACTGTAGCGCAGATATGCAGGTCTTGCTTTCTCGGGCTGTGGTTGGTCTCGTTTATTTTTTACTTCATGTACTCTTTAAGTTTTTTTGGGTTAACTTCTCTTGAAAGAGCATTAAACTTTGATCAATAGGGCGTTGTATTTTAAGATTGTTAATGCTGTCTTCGGAACGGCTGAATCAGTATCTGGTATTGTCATTTAGGGGGAAAAATCGTTAGAATATTATACTCAGTTATTCTCAATTTTGGAGCGGGATATGGAAATACCTAAGGGCATACCTCACTATTATTTTTCTGTTTGTTTCAGATCAATTTTTTGTTGCTATTACTTTTTTAAGGATTCCTGTGTTTCTTTAATTAGTTGATTATATTTGTATGCTCCAGGTTCGGATGGCCATGGAGGTTACTCAAATTCTTCTAAATGCACAAGCAGTTGATGGCACTGTACGGAAACAAGCAGAAGAAAATTTAAAACAGTTTCAAGAACAGAATCTTCCAAGTTTTTTGTTTGCCCTTGCTGGGGAATTGGCAAATGATGAGAAGCCTGTAGAGAGTAGGAAGCTTGCAGGTTTAGTTCTTAAGAATGCCCTGGATGCAAAAGAACAGCATAGAAAGATAGAATTTGTCCAAAGATGGTTATCATTGGACCCAACAGTAAGAGCTCAGATTAAAGGATTATTGTTAAGGACCCTGTCCTCCCCTTCTCTGGATGCTCGATCAACTGCCGCACAAGTTATTGCAAAAGTTGCTGGTATTGAGTTGCCACACAAGCAATGGCCTGAATTGATAGGGTCTCTCTTGACGAATATTCCTCAACTTCCTGCTCCTACAAGGCAGGCAACTCTGGAGACTCTTGGCTACATCTGTGAAGAAGTTTCCCCAGATGTGGTAGATCAAGATCATGTAAATAAGATACTCACTGCTGTTGTTCAGGGCATGGATTCTTCTGAAACTAATAATGATGTCAGGCTTGCTGCAATTCAAGCCCTATACAATGCCTTGGGCTTTGCTCAAGCAAATTTTTCAAATGATATGGAGCGTGACTACATCATGAGAGTTGTTTGTGAGGCTACTCTTTCCTCTGAATTGAGGATTCGACGAGCAGCTTTTGAGTGTTTGGTTGCCATTTCATCAACCTACTATGAAAAATTGGCTCCTTATATGCAGGACATATTTAGCTTAACTGCCAAGGCTGTGAAAGAAGATGAGGAGCCAGTTGCCCTTCAGGCTATTGAGTTCTGGAGTTCAATATGTGATGAAGAAATAGATATATTAGAAGAATATGGAGGAGAATTTAGTGGTGATTCTGATATTCCTTGCTTTTACTTTATTAAGCAGGCACTTCCAGCTCTTGTTCCTATGTTATTGGAGACACTATTGAAGCAAGAAGAGGATCAAGATCAGGATGAAGGTGCATGGAACATAGCTATGGCTGGAGGCACATGTCTGGGCTTGGTTGCTCGGACAGTTGGTGATGATATTGTGCCTCTAGTTATGCCATTCATTGAAGAGAATATAACAAAACCTGACTGGAGGCAAAGGGAAGCTGCTACATATGCCTTTGGTTCCATTCTTGAGGGTCCATCACCTGATAAACTTGTACCGCTTGTAAATGTTGCTTTGAATTTTATGCTCACTGCATTAATGAAAGATCCTAATAATCAAGTAAAGGATACTACTGCCTGGACTCTTGGACGAATGTTTGAATTTTTGCATGGCTCAGCTTTGGAAACACCCATCATCACTCCAGCTAATTGCCAACAGATTATTACAGTGTTGCTTCAAAGCATGAAAGATGTTCCCAATGTTGCTGAGAAGGCATGTGGTGCTCTTTATTTTCTTGCCCAAGGTTATGAGGATGCTGGATCTTCATCCTCTCCATTGACACCCTTTTTTCAAGATATTGTTCAAGCCCTTCTTACTGTTACTCATAGGGAGGATGCTGGAGAATCACGACTTCGAACAGCAGCTTATGAAGCCTTAAATGAAGTAGTGAGATCTTCTACTGATGAAACAGCTCCAATGGTGGTGCAATTAGTTCCTCTCATCATGATGGAACTCCACCAGATTCTTGAGAAACAAAACCTTTCAACTGATGAGGGGCAAAACGAACTACCTGGTCTTCTCTGTGGTTGCTTGCAGGTCATCATACAAAAGTTGGGTTCATCCGAGCCAACAAAATACCACTTCATGCAGTATGCTGACCAAATGATGGCCCTGTTCCTAAGAGTGTTTGCTTCTCGTAGTGCCACGGCACTTGAGGAGGCTATGCTTGCCGTTGGAGCTCTGGCTTATGCATCTGGCCTAGATTTTGCTAAATACATGCCGGAATTTTACAAGTATCTGGAGATGGGACTCCAGAATTTTGAAGACTACCAGGTTTGTGCCATTACAGTAGGCGTAGTTGGTGATGTATGCAGGGCCTTGGAGGAAAAGATTTTGCCTTATTGCGATGGGATAATGACCCAACTTCTGAAGGATTTGTCAAGTAACCAGCTGCATCGATCTGTGAAGCCTCCTATATTCTCATGCTTTGGGGATATTGCCTTGGCAATTGGTGAAAACTTTGAGAAGTACTTGTTATATGCTATGCCTATGCTTCAGAGTGCTGCTGAGCTATCTGCTCACACATCAGGTGCTGATGATGATATGACAGAGTACACAAATTCATTGAGAAATGGAATCTTGGAGGCATACTCTGGGATCTTCCAGGGGTTTAAGGGCTCTCCGAAGACTCAACTCTTGATGCCCTATGCTCCTTTTGTACTGCAGTTTTTGGATAGTTTGTACATGGCGAAGGACATGTAAGCAAACTTTTGTACTTGCTATTTTATCAGTTATATTCCTGGATTTTAATTTGTGTCTTTCTGTTGGTTTAGGGATGATGTTGTGACAAAGACAGCTATTGGTGTACTTGGAGATTTAGCTGATACGTTGGGTAGTAATGCTGGTCCCTTAATTCAGCAATCGGTGTCCAGCAAAGATTTCCTCAAAGAGAGCTTGTCATCTGATGATCATATGATTAAGGAGTCAGCTGAATGGGCCAAGTTGGCTATCAGTCGAGCCATATCATTTTGAGGTAATTGCAGTTTCATGGGACCTTCTCCTTGCATAAATTTGTATGCATTAGGTGAGTCACAATTGGATCGTCATTACCATTTTTTTGGCTCAAGTTCTTGGGTACTTTAGCTGTCTCTGTTTCTTTTAAGCAATATGGAGTCTACTTTTCGATTTCATTTTTAATTTATTTTGCTTTGCTATGGAGGATGTTGGGTGGTGATTAAATTCTCTTCTAACTTGGCAGAAACTATGGAGTTTTTCATACATGAGGAGAAACAGGTTTAACAGTGAGGATGGACCAAAATGGTGATTTCCCATTATACATTTGCCCAGTGCTGTCTCCATTGGCTCGGCTTGATTATATTTCTTCATTTGGGCCGGTGGTGTACTGTCTGATATTTTATAGGTTGTAGAGCTGGGGCGGGGTACAGTCTGTCCTTGTCTTTTTTTGTTATTTTTCCTCTATTATTTGGCTGTAGGGTGGAAAACAGTTATCTTAGTCTATATGTCTTGGAATAGGCAATGAAACATACTTGCGGTCAAGTTGAAGTTGGTCAATCATTCTTCATCCATTATTTTGTATTGAATTTTCTCGTTTTTGGTTTGATTTTTTTTTTTTGGTCTCATTTTATATATGAATACATCTTCAACATCTGTGAATAACCTGTCATCTCTAACGATGAGGGTAACTCAAATGTTATATTCTTACTTTCTGATTTACTCATTAAGTATGAAAAAAGTAATTATAGCACAAACAGTGGATGTTAAAATGAATTTTATAGCCACCAATCTTTTTACTTGATGTTACACCATACTGGTACCTGCCGACCCCACCTAGTGGGATAAAGGCTTGTTGTTGTTGTTGTTGTTGTTGTTTTACTTCAAATTCCAACTATTTTGTTGTTGGTTTGCTTCTTGTATAGGATCTTTTTTTCTCTTATGATTTTGCCTGATGAGATAAATGAAGATCCAGAATTAGCATATGGTGACAGGTTTGCAAGAAGAAATATTGTGTGCTATCCTTTGGATGTGATTGCTGCTGTTCAAGAAGAGCAGGCAGATTTCACGACTGACTTCAAGTCACCTCTCTATCTTGCTGTTACCATAGCTGTAAGGATCTATCATGAAGCCTTAAAATTTTCATTTTCTTTCTTTCTTTCTTTCTTTTTTGTGGTAACTACAATTTTCATTTTCTGGGAAAGCCGATATGGTGATGACTTTGGGGGAAACTAATAGCCGATGAAATCAATCGAAGGAATTCAATGAAACTGATTACATTGTTTCTGTTTCACAGGGAAAGTAAAAAGTACTAGTGAGCATTCATTGATGTCATTTTCCTCAATGCTTTTAGTATTAGTTTAGCATTTCCCCAGTAGTATTTAACGATGAATGTAATTATGGCTTGGGAAGAATAGGGTATCCTCTTATGTACGACACAATTATGAATTATTCACTCTGTCCTTGTATACAAGGTATTTTTTAGAAATTTATTTTGTGTTTAAATATAAAAGGTGCCATAATTTTGAGTAATTGGATAATTTTCTTTTTTTCTTTTTGTCTTGAAAAGGAGAAGAGATATTATGTTTTATCTACCACCATGATATTGATCAACGTTACTAGGGAAAAAACTAGAAAATTATTTTGGTTTTATGTGCTTTCAACTAAATAGTAAACTTATTGGTAAGCAAGATTTGATTAAAATATTTTATATATAGGGGACGGATGACCTTAAATATCAAGAGAAGTGAATTATTCTATTTATTTTTTATTATAAGGTATTTCTAATTATTGCGTTAGAATTAAAGAGACATGGTTAAATAATTAATTTTATTTACAAATAAAATTAATTTTCAATTTTATCCCTACTTAAATAAAATTTTTTTATATTTGCATTATATTCTCTCTTAGTTAATGATTTTAAATAAATGTAATATTAAAAAATATAAGTAATATTTTATTAAGGGTTTTATATTAAGGATTGCAAAATTCTTTTAGAAGATGTTCGATAATAAAGATTAGAGTGGTATGTAATGTATGTCTTGACTATGAAATTTGATTGATATTGAAGAGCTGAAGTTGTATTTATGGACCACTGTCAAGGCATGCTTCTTGTCCTAAACATGTATAGCTTGATATGTAACTCCGCAATTAATCATGATGTTCTCTGTGAACGTGGATTCATTTTCTTGCTCAATGATAACATTGAATAAAAGCTTCTATTAAAAATAAAAGAAAGCAATCAAGTTACAAGAAATTACATTTCCTTGCTCAAGTGATTCCAGTGAAAGGATTGTAAAGCCAGCAAGAGCAATTGTTTCTGAATTAAGACTTGCTATTTAGAAGCTTGTCTAGTATCTATTTTGTGTAATCAAATGATTCGAAAAGATACTTTATTGGTCTTAAATATGAAAACTACCTAACTACTAACTAATTCACATGAATTATGAAAACCAATTTAGCTAACTATTTAACAATTGATAATTCACCCTTGCAAAGGACATTTAATTATGAGAGAATTACATTGAAATCTCATACAAGAAAATTAATTATTATAAAGTTTATTGACAACTAAATTAAATTGTATTGACAATATAATCAGTTGTTAATGTAGTTTAATTCAGTTGTTAATGAATCTTACAATAATTAATTTTATTGTGTGAAACCTGATTGTAATTTTCTCAAAAAGAATATGAAAATGAAGATAAACAATAAAATAAAAAAATTATTAATTACAGTGTAGAATGATAAGATATGATGAAAAATACACGCATCTAAAAAGTTTATAGCTAAGTACATTGTTCATAAATAATAAATCAAAGAGTAGATTTTGTATGAATAAAAAATATCAGTTTCTCATTTCACCAAATTTTATAATTTTATTGTATTACATGTGTTACTATATACAAGATTTTTTTTTCTTTTTTTAACACAAAAATTGCAAAGTACTTTAATTAAATATTTAAAAGACAACAATAACCTTTCAAGTATAATCAAAATAATACAAACCCCAAAATATTGTATAAACCATACAAGTTTAAATTGTCTATTGTTCAAATGGTAAATATTCTATAGTCTTCAAAGCTATGTGTATTTGTCACTTCAACTAAAAAAAGCTGCATGTGTTTATGGGCTAGCTTGAGCCCACACTTGTTTTTAATGGGCTTATAACGATTAGATCTAAAATCTCTCTTGTAACAAAATCTTTTTTTTTTTAAAGCTTGGCTCTTAATTTTTACTAGGTTGAAAAGGATAGCTTGACTGTCCTATTTGTATTGACAAATGTGATTATATACACTTCACAAATTTTCAATCTTCTTTTTAAAGGCCAACTAATTGCTTCAAAAAGAAAAAGAAGAAGCAAAGGCCAACTGATTGTTAAACAATGTCTCTTCCAATTTTGTAAGGCTTCAAGATGGAAACTCAACACTACTAAATCTAAACTCTTCTACTCCAAGAATGTCAACATCAACAAAAGCATGCAAATTATTGAAAAGCTTGGAGTTCCTTTCATAGGAAATCTTGGCAAGTATATTGGAATTTCTCTACTATACAAAAGGCCCTCCAAGCTAACTTTTGCCCCTCTTCTTGAAAAAGTTCATACTCATCTATTCACTTGGAAGGGTCACTATCTCAACATCACAAGGAAATCTATTCTCTCAGCCATCCCTGCCTATACTATGCACACTATGCTATTATCAAAAAATGTCTTTAATGACTTGGAAAAAACATCTAGAAACTTCCTTTGGGACTTGTTTGACGGTACCCAAAATACCTCATCTCTTATCTTAGAGTTGCATTACTAAGGACAAAAATTGTGAAGGTCTTGACTTCAAGAAACTTAAAGGCCAAAACATTGCCTACATTATGAAGATTTGCTAAGGAATTATTACTAAGCCTAATTGTCTTTAGGTTTGGATTCTTCTTGAGAAATGCAAATGTAACAAACCAAGAATCCTATGGTGTGTAAAATCAGCTCTACATCCTCCACTTGGACTAGTATCGGCAAAGTTTGAGATAATTTTATGTCATTCATGGGTTGAAAAGTTGGTAAAGGGAATCAAATATCTTTTTCATATGATAGATGGTCCCCCCAACCTATTATTTAGTATGCCTTTCCTAAAGCTGATTCCATTTTTTATGTCATAGTCTCTGATTTCCTATCTACTTCTAGAGGGTGGAAGACTGATCTTTTATGCCGCTACCTTTACCATGACGTTATTAAGCTTATCCTCCTTGTCCAACCCCCTAATCCTCATGGTGATAAAGACATTCTTAGCTTGAGGCATTCTTTTGATAATAGCTTCTCAATAAAATCTGCCTACCTAACCATTGAAAATCTAGAAAGTATGAACAACTCAAATATTTGGTTTATGATTTGGAAATGGCCTACTTATGATAAAATTAAATCGTTTCTCTAGAAAGCTACCTAGGATCATTTGTAAACTAAGTTTATTAGCAATGAAGAAGCTAGTGCTTGCCAAAAGGCTTGCCCTTTAGGTCTAACTCCTTGGACTCGTCTATTCATATATAACATTTTATAGAAATGATGGAACTTAATTATTTATAATAAAAATGTGTGAGCTTTTCTAAAATATTTTTTATTTTAATCATTTACATTATACATCATACAATAATCTGGGTTCAATTTTTCCCCCTCAACTATTTGTATAGAAGCTGTTAATATTCCTTTTTTTTTTTTTTACAATGTTTCCCTTCAACAACTTAAAACAGTACAATGTTTATTGTGTTATTATTGTAACATCTTAATTTTTAATTTTAGAGGTTAAGTAACATTAGAAGGAAATTATTTCATGGTAAAAGAAAATTCACCATGTAATTATTTGAGAAAAATAATTTACCGAAAAAGGATTTAAATTTTAGAAATTTAATTCCAAGACATTATTTTTTATAAAATGAAGAAAATAACAACGTTGGTTGGGATTAAATAAAACTTTTTTTAGATGTTTTTCGGACTTAACATATTATACATATTTTGAATGTTATGAAAATTTTATTTGCATATAGATATACAAACTTAATTCAATCTTCGGAGTTTCAGGAGAGAAAAAAAGGATAGAAATTAAAAATCGAAAACAAAAAAAAAATGAAAGGGCTGTTTGGGTTCGGGCCATGGCAATTACAACAATTTTCAAATTAACCATGGGCCACGTGTTGTCTTTTTTTTTTTTTTTTAATTCGCCCTCATTTACTCCATCATCCCCTCCAACGTTTCTCTCCTCCTTTATTCTCCAGCATCGACTGTGCTGTCCTCCGAATTACAGTGTGCGCGTGTGTCAGAGGCTAATTTCAAGAGGTTTTAAGATATTTTGGGTGTGTTTTGAAACTTTTTAAAATTGAATAAGTATTCTAAATATTTTTTAAATATATTTTTCATATTTTTTTGGAATTTTTTATAGTGAAATATTATAATTTTTATAATTTCAAATTTGAGATAGTTCTATTTAATTAATTTGAGTTTAAATATGTTAACTAAGTTAGACTAAGTGATTAATTGCTTAAGATTTGTTCAAATGCTTGATTTGGAGGATTTTAGGTTGGGTTTGTAACAAAGTAGAGGTTTGACGTGATTAATGATATTCTAACCATTTAAATTTGAATTTAATGCTTGGGTTTTGTTTGTACAGATTGGTAGAACTGAGAATTTAGACGAGTTAGATCTATTTTATTACGATTGTAATAAGCTCGACCCGAATAGGATAGACTTCTTGAAAAGTCTAAATATCCAAACTCGACTCAAATTCCTTTAGATTTAGGCCTGTCGAATAGCCAAATTTTATTTTTAAAATTATTTTTAATTAATTTTTTATTTTAAAATTACTTTTTTTATTTTATAAAAATATAAAATATAATTTTTTGATACTTAAATGATGTATAGGACTCAAATATATGATATTTTAGTATATAATAACCTAAAACTTAAATAATTAATTAATATTTATTATATTTTATATACTTTTTAAAAATAAATATTTTTATTTGGGTATTCGGGTTAAACCCAAATCTGATCGAACTTGGTCCAAATTTTGAACATAAAAAAATACTATCTTTTTTTAAGCCCTACCCTAAATATTTTTAGGCAAATTCGAGCTAACCTGTCTAACTTGACCTGAATTATCGACTTTATAAATTGGAATTGATATTTAATTATTTTAAAATTTAGAGTAAAATGCAGTGACCTCCCTTCTATTTTGCTAAAATTATAGAGACCTCCATTCTATTTTCAAAACCTATATTTTAGTCCAATTTTTAACACTGTTAAGAATATTTTATTAAAAATCATAAAATACTTAACTTTTTTATGTATGATTAGATTAAAAATTTTGAAATTATTAATTTTTCCTCATGATTTAACTGTCTACTATCTCTCCCAATTTAAAAAATATCTTCAAATAATTAAGTGTTCAATACTTAAATAAATAATTTAAAAATTTTGTGCTAAAATTAATGAAATTTAAAGAATATAAA